GATTCTGTGCATAACACCACCTCTGCTACTACTGTTGTTAAACACAGGTGATCTCTATGATTCAGACGGAAATGAAAAGAAAGAAAAAGAAAGAGAGCTTGTTTCCAAGTTGTGTTTTCCCATGGCCGTCGATCTGTTCGATGGAATCGAGATGATCGACATCGTGTTGGAAGAAAGAGAGCACGACATTGGAATACCGAAAGCATTCGGTGCAGCAATGATCTTGTTGGCTTGCCTCAGCATGTTTCTGTCTCCCTGGCAAATGGCAGTAAACGAACTCACCGAAGAGGGACCGAAGATTCGTCTTCGTACCGCATTTTACCGCAATATTGCCCAAATATTTTGCGTAAATCTACCATTCTTGGTTATTCGTGCTGTGGTGTTCTTTACCTTTGATAAAGACGAGTCCATCTTCATCGTCAAGAACGGCATAGCAATAGTACTTTCCATTTTGGAAATTCGTAATCTACGCCGTTTACGTAGGGTTGGACAAGCAGATCAAGTAGTTTAGAACAGGTAAATTTTTCTAACTCCTCGATTCATATGAAGATCTCATAAAGCATTTCTATTTTTCTACTACGTTTTGCAAGCAACAAATTCCCATTTTAACTTCTCCAGTAACCTAATGCGAGAAGACTCGATTTTTGCTTCCAATGTATTTATAATTTTAAGGGTCTGCAAAACTGTAAATAAAGCTTACAATTTATTTTATATCATGTATCTTAAATTTCATCTTATATAGACTAGATTATTGTATTGTATCCAGTTAAATGTGATGAGAAATAACTATAAGTCGTGTAATTTGCGCTGAAATAGCAGTTAATTTTTGTATCAAGTGTATCTAGACTTATTGACTTTGCGTTAATTCTTTTCTCCTCTTGAATAATGGTAGTATGTTCTACGCATCACGGCTGATGATCAGTCATGAATACCTCAGTGAAGTATACATATTAAGCAGAGAGGTATTTTGTCTGCGCATGCGCGAGTGGAATTGGTTTGTTTTATCACCTTGTTGTGATAGAGACCTGTCTGTATCTAGTTAGCATGATAACAAAGTGATTTACATTTGAAAGGCAGCAAGGTTTGTATCATAACAAGGTCATCTCTAGCCTCACAACCATTGAAGGGCTTGGCAACCAAGCACACAACTGTAAAATGGACTATTGTCGCGTTCGGCGCCAGGTTGGTGCCCATTGCCACTTAATATGCAGTATCAGTCTCCTTTTGACTTTAGTTTCATTTCTCTAAAACCTAATCGGTGTAAATTATCCATTTCATAAAGAGGTCAACGAAACTCTCTTCATTATTTAATTTGACTTCATTCAGACTTGTTTCCAGGGATACAAGCCTTGGGAAATAATTTGGTTTTTGTCCTCACTGATCGANAAAAACACTCAAAGGAAATTAAGTAAGTACTACAAATGTACTCGATTTGTTGAGATAGCAATGACACAGTGAAACTACTTTTCAATACGTCTGTCTGTGCTCTTCGACAGACTTCCTGTGTCATTCGCAAAAAAGATCACCTACATCGATCGCACCAACAATTATTAAAGAGGACTCGATTTGAACTCGTTTGTACATCCTTTTGCTTTTGAAAAGTTAATGGATTGTGACTTCCTTTCGCACACCACAACCAAATAAAGACTAGGACGCTTCCATCAAAGTTACAGAGGGAAAAATGACAAGATTAGTTGTCTCAAATACTCGTCCGACCATTGCTTTCCGACGCATTTTCCTCCATCACTTCTTTCGTGGGAAACCCACAGGCGCGCAGCAGTGGTTATTTGCTTGAAAAAAATTTTACTGAACATGCGCAGACAAATTGCCTCTGCCAACTAAATCACATTTATTCAAAAAAGTCCCGCCAGGTTAACTCTTTTCAAGAGAACTTGAAACCTTACTAACAAATGGTAAACACCTCAAGTTCTCAAGAACTCGTCAGAAAATCCAACAGTTCCTCTTGATCATACGAGGACTCGTCAGGATGGTAAACAACACATGCGTAATAGACAGAATTAGGAGTCGAAACCCTCAGCCATAAACATTCAAAATCACTGGAAAGAGGACCATCGAGTCGTTCGATTTTCCAATCTCCCCTGCAAATGACAGCGAGCCACCTCCACCACGATCTAATCTGTCTTTACGAATCATACAAAATCCATTGGAGCAAGCAATCTGAGTTGGATGTATAGGCTTTAGCCAAGTTTCAGTTAAAAAACACAGGTCGCAGTTATTTGTCAACAACTCAGCATCAAGGGCAGGAAAGGCGTCCACTTTAGCAACAGATCTTGTGTTCATTACCATGCAACAAGGAATGATTCTTGGCTGTGAGGTCAAAGTTGAAATAGGTCGAAGTGTTCGGGATCTTGTGTGATTAAAATTAAAATTAATATGCCACGCATGAGTTAGCCGGGAATTAATAATAAGAGGAATGAATTTCGATTGCTTCGCTCTCTTCAGGCGAACCAGTCTACCAGCTCTCTTTCTACGGGCACGAAGCAAACCAAGATTCCCTAGAAAAGATATCAGAGTAGGCGTTAGGGTTTGTGATGCAGCGCTTTTTCTAAGAGAGTAGAGTTTTGCTTATTTCGTTCGACAATCAAACTTTGGTTATTTTTCTAGTTTTTAAAAGGTTTACAGAATAAACTGCAGCACCAGAAATGGATTATTTCACCGAACACCGTCGATTTGAAATTACAAACATCGAACACCGTGGGGTTTGAGGTCACCGCAAACCGCAATGCGAGTTGTTCTTCACCGCAATATCGCATTTAAATGAGGGTCAACACTGTAACACCCCAAACCCCAATGTCCCCCCCCTTACACCATTAACTTACAGCCCCGCACCAATTGTTGATAAGGAAGTTTCTCCTACAAAGGTGCTGAGGTGTGGAATACCTTCTCCCAGGGTTTGCGTTCTACAGCTTCCTTAAACTGAATACAGCCTTGAAAAGCAGCCTCACAACATGACAGATTTTATCTCATTTTATTGGTTAAATTAGCTCGACAGATCTAGAAGTTTTATTAGTAAATTATGCCAAAGGAATTTCTTACCGTTTGTTAATAATGCTACGAATCAATTAATCAATCAATTTATAACTCCTGCCAGACAACCCTTTTCTGACAGCCTGGACGTGGTCGACAGTTATTTACGCCGACAGCCGGCGTTGTTACAACTATTTTAAGCATCCTGGACGTGGTCGAGTTTTCTGAGAACTCAGTAGCTTGCAGAGCGCGCTTAATTTTGGCAAGCGAGTGTTCTGTATCTTATTGGCGAAAATTATGGCCGTCATCTTTGATTTTAATGAAAGCGAAAGGCTGGGAGAGAAAAAAAATTGTATCGAGTGGGTGAGCAACAATGAAAAAATAAGGAAGGGGTGAGGGTGGGGGACTAAATATTTCGCCCCTTCCCGCTCCCTCTCTCCCCCCCCCACACCGTTGACTCTAACTCCATATCAAATATGACCGGTGTAAGAAACGATCGCGTGCTTCTTAACGTTAACTCACCCTAAATAGAATACCTGCACTGCAGGTTAAAAACTCAACGGGGCTCATAACGTTTAAAAAGAAAAGCAAAGCTGTTTTCTTTAAAAGCGTTGGCGGAGTGAAGGGGGATAGGGGGCGTTTTATGTAAATCTACAGAGGGTGGAAATGTCAACATTTTCCCCTCCCTGCCCTTCTCTTGTCTACCGTGACAAAATAAATAAATCAATAAATAAATAATTTAGCAATGGACATTCC